TTTGTAAAGTATATATATATATATATATTTACTTTCCTTTACCTTTACCAAATTTACCTGTATTTACTTTGTTTTCATATTTGGCGACTTTTTGTGAAAAATTGAGACTTTTGAGGGTGGTTCTAGAGATTTTCTGAGGGAGGGATTTGGCAAAACTGCTGGTGACATGTTGCAACCTGAAAAACAGGATGACAAACACTCCAGTGACTTGTACGTGCCTGGAAGCTAGGTTGAGAGGAGTCTCAACAACAAAATAAAACAACAACATTAATTGAGGCACAGCTGGAAGCTATACACCCTAGTGGTGTTAAAACATGTTTAAATTGATTTTCATCTGTCATCTGATGGCCTCTCTGTCATCTGTCATCTGATGTCATCTGACCTAACTAGTCTTCTACCACGCTACAATCCATCACGCTCCCTAAGGTCTTTAACTGAAAAATTTGTGTTTACTATTGTCATTTTGCATTATTGACACACTATTTTCCTAATTAATGCTGTTCAGTTGCTTTGACACAATCTGTATTGTTAAAAGCGCTATATAAATAAAGGTGACTTGACTTGACTTGATGGGGGCGTAACTTAGAGATCAGCTTTTTGCACAAATATATTTTTTTTCTTCCTCTTCAACATTTTTCATATATGTGTGTGTGTGTTTTGTGCGGAATGTGGCTGTATCTGCATGATTACCAGATGTATGACCGCACATCCGCGTGTGATTACTGTCTGTATGACAGCTATCAGTGTGAATGCGGTCTATATGAATAAGAGTGTGATTATTGACTATATGGCCGGCCATCTGTAGAATTACCATCTGTATGACCGGCCATCAGCATGTGATTACTGACTGTATGAGCAGCTATCAGTGTGAATGCTGTATGTCTAGCAATCACAGGATATACTTGGCATAGGTCATTTTCAGCTGTGAGTCCTAAAATGGGGGTGCAGGTTAACAGGTTAAATTAGGTATAACTATTTATTTATTTAACTTACAGTCTCTGAAAAGTATGACGTGTTTTAGTTTAAGTGAGTTTAATTAGTTAAAAAAAACATTCCATTTTATAGCAAAGACAAGAAACAGAAATGTCTTCTGAACAGAAACTCTGATCAAATGCACATTATTATTATTTAGCTTGGGTTAAACAAATCAATTTTGGAACAGCAGCTATGCTAATTATGTCTCTATTTGTTTATCTGTTTCTGCGGATTTACACAAGATTCAGTCTGGATCCAGAACACCTGAGAAGAGATGATGTCAACCCCTCAGAGGACCTCAGATGATGCCAACCATGAAACAAAATACAGAACTACCAAATTTAGCTATAAGTTTGATTGCATCATATAATAATTGCTGTTAATAGTGTTCATCGTCTGTTTGATTACGTTTGATTTTTCCGTACATTTCTGCCATATGTTCATAAACTGACAGTCACCACTGATAAACTACCACTAAATATGGTAGAAACTTAATTTGCTGTAAAGTTGCTTTGCAACGATTTGTATCGTGAAAAGCGTTATACAAATAAACTTGAATTGAATTGAATTGAAAATGTGCAAAAATTATGTAAATCAGATGTATGTCTTCAGTTGTTTGTAAATAATTGTATATACTTAATTCAGATTTGGATAATTTGGTTTGGTTAATATGACATGTCAAACAGTTTCCTGCAGTATGACATGCAACATTTTACCTCATATATTATAATTTCCTTGTTTAATATTAATGCATTTAGTTTTTATGATTTCATTTTATTTAAGAGATCACATGGAATTTTTTTTTTTTTTATATCAGTGTTATTAAGGCCATGATATCTCTGACAGTATTGTGCTCCTCTGAATCACCATCACCAGGCAAGCATCAGCAGTTTTGATTCAGACAAAAATAATGTGCAAATATAAAATAATTCTTGGGCAAAAATCAGTGCTGCTAGCAAAAGAAAATAGTCCAGAGACGACAGAAAATAGTTTTGGTGAATATCCACTAGCAAACATGTTAAAGGAAATTTGAAAGTGCTCTTTTCTGCCCTGTTTTGTATTTATGCACTGGTCTCAACACTACAGGGCCTTGGTTATAATTCACTGAACACAAAATAAAGACAGACTGAGCAATTAGGGTAGTACCACATAGTAGGAGAAATGGTTTTGATGCAAAAATAAACTACAGACAAGCGACTCAGCAAACAAGCAAAAAAACCAAACAAAGAAGAATATGTATTAAGGACTGAATTGTGTAGGCTTTTCAAAGGCTTTATTAGATACAAATTAATGAAAATTATACCAAAAATTGCATATTCAAGTGTTAACATTTTTGCTACCTTCTCATAGTTTGATAACATTAGACTCTTTCAAATCAGCTTGACTCTATTCCACTCCTGCTCGACCTGACTCATGTCCTGCCCTATGAGGTCACTGGCAACGTCTACAAGAAATTATCCATATTAATTATGCCTATAAAAGAGAACATCATGTATCAGGTCATTTCAATTTGGCAGTCACAGTTGAGCTCAATCACTGGGATGCTTATCTTTCTTTACACACTCCTGCTTTTCCATCACCTTAATGTGAAGGCGGAATTTTTTGTTTGCAGAATAATGGGTGACCCTAAGTACCCACTGTTTTCCAAGGATGGAGACATAACTATTGGAGCAATTTTGGCAATACACAGTAAATTAGCATTATCTTCATTTGAGTTTACACAAAAACCTCAGCTTCTATCATGCTCCAGGTTTGTTACATTGTCTGCCCTAATTTTTCTCAAGTTTGCAGTGTATTTAATGCAGACATCTGAAAAGCTATGGTGTTTTTGGTATGACCAACATGTGATAAAAAGTCAAAGGAAAACAAATACCTTAAAGTTTATATCTGTTTATTTGTTTAGTTGAAATTTAGCTTTCTTGTGTAATGTTTTTACAGTGTGAATCTACAAGATTTTCGGATGGTTCAAATGATGATCTTTGCCATAGACGAAATTAACAAAAATGAAATTTTGCTCCCAAATGTTTCTATTGGCTACAGAATTTATGATAGCTGTGGTTCAAGAATGGCTTCTATGAGTGCAACTATGGCACTGATGAATGGACCAGAGTTTGCAGCAGGGGAGACATGCAGTGGACGGTCCTCTATACATGCAGTCATAGGGGAACCACAATCTTCTGCCACAGTAATTCTGTCCAGAACAACAGGATCTTTTAAAATTCCAGTGGTAAGGAGAAATAACAGTAAATAGTTGACACTATCTCCATGCACATTACTGTATAATTATTTCATATGTTTTTTTGTTTTTTTTCCAGATAAGTCACTCAGCCACATGTGAATGTCTCAGTAATAGAAAATATTACCCTTCTGTCTTCAGGACTATTGCTAGTGATTATCACCAGAGCAGAGCACTTGCATACATAGTCAAATACTTTGGCTGGTCTTGGGTGGGAGCTGTGAACAGTGACAATGACTATGGAAACTACGGAATGGCCATATTTCTGAATATAACCCAGGAAGAGGGCATTTGTGTGGAGTACTCTGTGAAATTCCAGAGGACAGAGACTGAAAAACTAAAAATCGTAGTAGACACAATAAAAAAAGGCACTGCAAAAGTGATTGTTGCATTTCTTACCAGTTTTGAGATGAACAATCTACTTGATCAGCTAAGTATTCAAAACATTACAGGCCTCCAGGTGATTGGTGTGGAGGCATGGATAACAGCAAGCAGTATGATCACGCCAAACAGTTTTCGTGTACTAGGAGGGTCACTGGGGTTTGCAGTGAAAAAAATCAATATCCAAGGTTTTGCAGATTATGTTCTAAAAGCATTCTGGGAAACAGCTTTTCCATGCTCACAGACTGAGACAAATTCTTCTCAAACTGAATTTAGTAGCAGCAGATATCATGATCTGCTTGTGCTGAAAAACTATAATGAAGATGTGCCTGAACAAAGATATGCAAGTAATGTGTACAAAGCAGTTTATGCTGTGGCTCATTCACTACACAGTCTATTCAAGTGCAAAGAAAATGAAGGGTGCAAGAAAAACTTAACAATACAACCACAACAGGTATCTATCTATCTATCTATCTATCTGGTAAAGTGATTGCTAGAAGGAAATATAGAGAGCATGCGCCTAACCTGTTTATGTTGTAGCTGAATATCATTGTGCTAATGCTTTATTCATAACATTCTAAATCTGTATTTTTGCTAGGTGGTTGAAGCTCTGAAAAATGTCAATTTCACTGTAAAGATGGGAGATCGTGTGTGGTTTGACAGCACTGGTGCCACAGTAGCCCAATATGAAGTTGTGAACTGGCAGCAGAATTCAGATGGATCAATCCAGTTTAAGCCGGTGGGATACTATGATGCCTCACTGCCTCCTGACCAGCGCTTTGTGCTCAACACTGAAAACATAATCTGGGCTGGAGGACAGCTCGAGGTAAACAGCAATAACCTGTCTACAAAGTTTGTTTGTGGCACTAGAAATTTAGAGCAATAAAACCAAGAGATTGTCAGGCCTGATCAAGACTTAGAGGGTTTTGACCAATAGGACAATAGGCTATCATACTGAGCGGTCTAAATAATATTGCTAAATTTTAATAACAACACTTTAAATTGTTTTGTTTCCAAAATTATTCAAAATACAGCACATTTCTATAGCTTCCATTATTTCATGATTCAAATAGTCTGTATGTGTATATTAGTATAATGTTTCTATGCAGAAGCCAAGGTCTGTGTGCAGTGAGAGCTGTCCTCCAGGCACTAGGAAGGCTGCACAGAAAGGAAGACCTGTCTGCTGTTATGACTGTATTCCATGTGCAGAAGGAGAAATCAGTAATGAGACAGGTAATCTTCAGCCCTTATCAGTTTAAAAGAAAACTAGTTAGTTGCATCTTTTGTATTACTTTTCTTCTTATATTACTTTTCAGGGTGCAGTTTTCTATCAAACGAGTTTAATAATAATAATAATAATAATAATAATTTCCTTTTTGTCTTATAACTATAGTGATAACAACTTCCTTTCCAGATTCAAATAACTGCAGGCAGTGTCCAGGGGAATACTGGTCTAATGCTGAGAAAAATAAATGTGTGTTAAAGACTGTAGAGTTTCTGTCTTTTACAGACGTTATGGGTTTTGTGCTGGTCTTTTTCTCACTGTTTGGAGTAGGATTAACTCTGCTGGTGGCCATCCTATTTTACAACAAGAAGGACACCCCCATAGTAAAAGCCAACAACTCAGAGCTGAGCTTCCTGCTGCTCTTCTCATTGACTCTGTGTTTTCTCTGTTCACTTACTTTCATTGGTCGACCCACTGAGTGGTCCTGTATGTTGCGTCACACAGCATTTGGGATCACCTTTGTCCTCTGTATCTCCTGTGTTCTGGGGAAAACAATAGTGGTGTTAATGGCCTTCAAGGCTACACTTCCAGGAAGTAATGTCATGAAATGGTTTGGGCCTCTTCAACAGCGACTCAGTGTTGTTTCCTTTACACTAATACAGGTTCTTATCTGTGTGCTTTGGCTTACAATATCTCCTCCATTTCCCTATAAAAATATGAAATACTATAATGAAAAGATCATTCTTGAGTGCAGTCTAGGTTCTACTATAGGTTTCTCTGCTGTTCTTGGTTATATTGGCCTACTGGCTGTCTTGTGCTTCATTTTAGCTTTTCTGGCTCGCACACTGCCTGATAACTTCAATGAAGCCAAATTCATCACATTCAGTATGCTCATATTTTGTGCTGTATGGATCACATTTATTCCAGCTTATATCAGTTCTCCTGGGAAATTTACTGTAGCTGTGGAGATTTTTGCCATTTTAGCCTCAAGCTTTGGGTTATTACTTTGCATATTTGCACCAAAATTTTATATCATCTTGCTTAAGCCTGAACAAAATACAAAGCAACATGTGATGGGAAAGATTTAATCCATGTTCTATTGATAAATAAACTACATTAGCATGGCTATTTCAAGGATAAATTATACAACGAAACAAAGAGGATAATCTGACAGTGACATCACTGTTTTTTTTTTTTTAATAGTTTTTGTTGTTGTTTTTATTGTTGCACAAATGGCTCTTGTGAAGGGCTGAAATAAAGAACGTAGTGGCCTACTACACTTTTGGCTGTCCCTGTATTTGTTCCCTTATTTTTTTGTCCTTTGTTTGCAATCAGGGGGTGGGGGTCAAACTAAAGTGACAGAACGAAAAAAAGCCTTAAGACTGTGACAGGTTGCAACCTGAAAAGCAGGCTGACGCAAAGGCTCCAATGACTTGTTATTGCCCAGAAGCTAGGTTGAGAGGAGTCTCCACAAACATAAAATCAAAATAATAAACACTTTAATTAAAGCACAGCTGGAAGCAACACCCTATTAATGTCAAAACATGTGAATGTTTTCAACAACAAAATCACACCTGATGCAACTTATTGTTAAATTAGGTGTAATTATTTAATTGTTTATTTTTGGTCTGCAAAAAGTAAGGTAGAAGTCGGTCTGTGTAAAGTATATACTTTAAAAAAGGTGAAAAACTTCATTATAGCAAGCCAGACAATGAGCAGTAATATACAAAATCAGCAGTTAATATCACATGTCCTGCAGTATGATATCAATTTCATATATCTATAATTTATCTAAACATTGTGTCGTGTAAAAGCTCTTGTAGTTTTTTTTTTTTTGTGTGTATGGCATAATGTTTAATGTTTATGGCATAATCTTTATTTGACCCTCTTAACTCTAGCACTTTCTCTTCTAATTTAATTCTACTTTATCTATATATCTTAATTTTTATTAAAAAAACTAACACTAACTTTCTATTTTTTTCTATTCTATCTACTTGTTTTTCTTTTTGTGTGTGTGTGTATACACTGAACAAAATTATAAACGCAACACTTTTGTTTTTGCCCCCATTTTTCATGAGCTGAACTCAAAGATCTAAGACTTTTTCTATGTACACAAAAGGCCTATTTTTCTCAAATATTGTTCACAAATCTGTCTAAATCTGTGTAAATGAGCACTTCTGCTTTGCAGAGACAATCCATCCACCTCACAGGTGTGGCATATCAAGATGCTGATTAGACAACATGATTATTGCACAGGTGTGCCTTAAGCCCCGTTCAGACTACACAATTTTTTTGTCGGTTACGACAGTCACTGTGTCAGATTATGCAATTTTGACTCATAAAATCGTGTCATGTCGTGAACAAGCAACATGTCAGACTATAAGATGCTACCTGAGCATTCATCGCATGCTGTTGTTACACCAAATTTTTATATATATATATATATATATATATATATACTATACAGAGTACTATCATGCAGGGACAGCGAGCAGCCAGTGGCCCATTAGTTTGTCTACTGTTTTGACAGAACAAACATCCAATCACAATGTGCTATAGACGGAGCGATGAAGTAGAGACCTGCGCGGGACGGATTTTTCAGTCCCGCTCCCGCAAGATTCTGTCCCACGCCCGCCCGCTCCCGCAGAAAAATACCTTATCTGGGCCCGCTCCCGCCCGCATAAAAGTAATCTATATATAGATTTTTTTTTCAGCACATCAAAGAAATTTACATTAAATGGTTCTGTAACATATCTCAAGATCCACAACATCCCAGCATAAATGCTCCCGATAAAATATTTGTTATTTAGGCTAAGCATCAACATTCACAAACCACTGTTATTTTTAACAGAAAAGCAAGCATGGGCTGCTGTGTGCATGGTTTGGCATGGCAGAATGCGAGCAGCACTTCCTTTATTATCACTAAAAGCTGACATCTCAGTTCAACACAATGAACATATGCACAATGAATCTTTCACAATGTCTATACTTCGTGTGTTAAAATGAGATGATTCGTGAGCACGCAATTTCAGCACTACTGTGAGTGGATTCTAACTACAGTAATCACCTCTGGTTGGCCATTGCGTTCCAGAAATCAACAGCTGAGTCTGTTATTGGCTACTGAGCAACCCTTTAAACACGTGTTATGAATAGAAACTCTGCCTAGCTTGTGCGTTAATCATTTTAATGTTATTAATTGTTCTTTTTGCTTTTGTGCAACACATAAATAACAATTTATATGTTTTAGACATTTTAATGTTTATATAATTTCTATTTTGCGGGAGTCCAGCGAATCATTTTATTCTCCCGCATCCCGCACACACACACGAGTCTCTTCCCGCCCGCACCCGCACCCGCCCATCAAAAGTTGTCCCGCGCCGCACCCTGTTGCGTTGGGTCCCGCGGTACTCCCGCGGGAGTGCAGGTCTCTAGTTCCTACTACTCCCTTCAGGGTTCAGGTGGTGAACCTACAAGCACTGCCCCCGGAGGAGGCAGACCCAGCCCTAGCTTTGCTTTGTCCCGTCCGCGCTTTAAGATTGTACATGGACTCGTGGTGCCTCGTTGACAGACATTTGTAGAGCTGCAGGCTGGGCGACACCCAACACATTCGCTATATTCTACAGCCTTCGTGTGGAGCCGGTATCCTCCTGTGTTCTCACCTCAAACGTGTAGAAGCACTGAGAGGCCCCGGTTTAGTGTCGGCTTGCTAAAACCACTCCAGAGAATCCGTACTGTATACCCTGTCGAGCTCCTCCATCCCCTCGGCAGCCAGACGTGGCGGAACGTCAGGCGCCAGGCCCTCACTCGATGAATACTTGAGAACCGGAAGAGGGCTGGGTTCCATTTGTAGAGACCTAAGCGGATCCCATATGTGTAAAGTCCACGGTATAGCCTCAGAGCC